CGCCGCGCCGCCCTTCCCATTGGTCCGCTCCGAGGAAGTGGCCCCTCTCCAGGCTGATTGGCGCTAGAGGGGGATGATTGGCGGCCGCGCCGCCCAGTCGGCTGCCGGAGCGGGCTGCGAGCGCGGGCGGGAGGGAGGCGGCATGGAGCGCGGCGCGGTGAGGCGCCTGGCCGCACGGCTGGGCCTGGCCGAGCCCGCCGTCGTCAGGTACCGCCGGGGGGGTAGCTGGGGGGGATTGGTGCCTTCCTCTGCGGAGAAGGGGCCCCGTGGTGGTCCCGGTTACGGCAGGGTGAGTGGGCCTGTCCGTGAGGCGCCGGCCTGGGCCAACCTGGGGCACGGAGGGGCCTGGGGTTCCCCCTTTTCCCTCAGCTGCCCCTCAGGGTGGGCCTCGGGCCGGGTCCTGCCCCGCCGCTCGCACCGGCTTAGGATCCAACGACAGGAGCAGAGGAAATGGTCTGGAGTTGGGGCAGGGGAGGTTTAGATTAGATATTGGGAAGAATTATTTTACTGAGAAGGTGGTCAGGCACTGGAACAGCCTGCCCAGGGAGGTGGTGGGGTCGCCATCCCTGGAGGTACTGAAGAAACGTGTAGACACGGCACTTCAGGGCATGCTCTAGTGCCCAGGATGTTGGGTTGTGTCTGTTTGTGGGTGGGTGTGGTGGGGGTTTGGGGTTTTTTTCTGGGTTTTTTTTTTTTTCCTTTTTTTTTGTGGTTGGACTTGATGATCTCAAAGGTCCCTTCCAACCGTGAAGTTTCTGTGATTCTGTGTGGTGTTAACGGGGGCTCGGTGTGCTGGGTGTTTTGGCAGAAAAGCTGAAGAGTACCTGCGGCTGTGCCAGGTGAAATGCACGGGGCTGATGGCCCAGATGACGGCGACGAGCAGTGCGGTGATGTGCCTGGACCTGGCAGCTGCCTTCATGAAACTGCCCGTGGACAAAGTAAGAGACGGCGTGTGACCCGGCTGCCTCCATCCCTCCACTGAAATCACTGCTCTGGGTAGTGCCGTTGGGGGCAGGAAAGGGACAGCAATAAGTACCACCACCCCACCCGTGCTGCTGGACAGAGTTAGAGCTCTCACTACTCAGAGTTTGAAACAAAGCAAAGTGAGCTGTGTCATAGTGACTTCACAAGTTGAGCTTGCTCTGTTATAATTTCAGCGCTTTCAGCAACAAATAGCTACCAGCAAGAATGTTAAATTTAATATCTGTCCCTTTTACTGAGGAAAGGAGGCTGTGGCTGCGAGGAATCCCTCTCTGTGGTGGTGCCTGTAAACCTCCACCTGCAGACTTGCCAGGTAAATGGCACTGAGCTGCCAAAGTAATGTCTGGTACAAGATGTTCTTGATTGTCAGTTCACAGACAAAGAAGAACTTAATTGGACCTGACCCCATGAGGAACAACATGAAAGTATTGGTCAGCTCCTCAAGCTGCCCAGATCTTAGTTATCTTTGTTTTCAACCACCTTGTAATAAAAGGGCCACGTCAGGTATGGAAAAGACAAACCTCGCTTCCGTTAAACGGTCTGAAAATAACACCACATTACAAGATGTGACATTCCTAGGTGGTTAATCTTTCTGTGTGCAGTCAAAGCTTACACTATTCATTGCACAAATTTGTTTAATATAGCAATGGAACTTTATTTTATGATGTCGTGCAGTTTCTCCCTAGTCTGTTTTGGTTGCCTGAATAAGATGTTAGGAAGGAATCTCGCTAATTCTTGGGGTTTGTCTTTGTCTTCTTGAAAGAGCTATTTTGTTAAACTCTCCGGTTTGAACAAGACGACCTACCAGAGCTCCATGAAGTCTTTGGAGTGTTTGCTAGAGGTGAACCCCAGGCTGGGAATGCGAGACTTGGCTGTGCAATTCTGCTGCACAGAGGCAGTGGGCACTGCTTCAAAAATACTGCAGAGGTGAGGAAGCTCTCGCGAGCACACTGGTAACCACTAGTAAGATTCTTTGTTGTGTGAAGGTCTGTAAAGAGCTCGATGGTTTGAAGGGCCAGGTATCTCCCACTGATGTGCTGAGTGAGTTGTTAGCACTGACACTCCAGTGATTTGTCTAGGCCACTTTTTTAGAAGACACATCAGAAAGACTTGAGTGTGGGCATCTCAGTAAGTCATTGTCTGAGTCCTGGTTCTTCAACTGGGAATAGTATGGAAAATGTAGGACTCTTAGTCCCTGTATTTGTCCATAGTGTTACCTTGTCTTCCATTTAACTGTGGATCATGTCACAGTTCAGATGTAACGCTCAGCAGAAACCAATCCTCCCTCCTGGAGGAGCAGATCTCTTACAATGCACTTTATCTGTCAAAACAATAGATGGAACACTTCAATGGACATTCAACAGATTTCACTAAAATTTTGCACCCTGCTCTTGTTAAAGTATGTGTTACAATCACTGAAGAGTTCTGTTCTGGAGTGCTGTCACCCTGACAGCTCATGTTTAAATGCTGTTAGGGATGTAGAATTTCCTGAGTTGCAGGTCAGTGAACAAAGGCTGTGTGTGCTTGTCCGTGCTACAAACTGAAAAAAAAATAGCTCGGGGACAGTTGGACAAGAAAAAACTTAATTCTTCTTTAGTGCTGCACATCTGTCACATCACTTCTTATATTTAAGCCTTCATCGGTGTAATATACATATTAGAGAAATCAGAGAAACTGTAATTCTACCCTCTATTATAGGATGGATTTATGCAAAGCATCTTATTGTAACTTTTTGATGTGAGGTAGACATAAAAGTGCTGTGTGGATGGGCAGCACAAGAAGTAGATTTTACTGACATGCCTAGATCCAGATCCCTAATTTAAAATAACCTTAATTCAAAAGTAGGAGGTCATCTTGATTCCCTTCTGTTCCCTAGTCTCTCTTGCTCTTCTCAGCCAGTAGCAGCTGTTTCTGCTTGACTGGGTTGCAAAGGACCAAGTGATCTAAGAGGAGACCTGTTCAACTGCCGAGTACCACGTGACAACTTCATTTCAACAGCTTCATTGGAGGCAAATGCATTATACAGTTCTCTCTCTTATTGCTGTTCTTTAGGTATGAATCCAGCCTCTCTGAAGCACAGCAAAAGGACCTTGATTTCTCAAAACCACTGTTTATAACAGCTGCACTATTCACTGCATGCAGGTGAGTAGAGCTTGAGGGATCTTTTATGGGCTTAAATGCTTTGTGAGACACCGAGCCGAAACAGTGCCTGCAGTGTTAGCAGCTGATTCATTCAGCGTGTCTGAATAGTCTGCAGGGTCTTGCTTAGTCCATCTTGCTGCCCTGGTCCTGGAAATGGGGACAGCTGTCACAAACCAGGCCTTGTCTCCAACCTATACTGCCTTTGCCTTCAGGAGAAAGCAGAAGTATTACATCAAATATACAGAAAAGATTTTGAGTTATTTATCGTAAAATAAATGAAACTTGTCTTCCCTTCCCATAAGTGGATGCTGTGGGTAATTCCATGGCAGTGGCTGTAGAACTTCTGTTAGTGTTTTGCACTTCACCCTCCTTCCTCTCAGCCTAACCAGCATAATATCTTTCCCTAGTAACATTTTCAGATTTAGTGGGAATTTTTTTTTTTCCCTTGTCAGGATAGATTTGAGCTGGGCACAAAGCAAAAAGTGGCTTTTAGTGAGATAGTGCTCAAGGTGGAAGAACGGCTACTGGCTTACTTCTGAGCACCAAGAAGCAGCCATTCTGAAGAAGGAAAAAGCTTTGGGAGATGGATCGAAAGGCCTGCATCAGCTTGGCAGCTGGGTGTCAGGAGCACGAGTCTATCAACCCTTTCTTTATCAGTATTACACCTTGTAACAGTCTTATAAAGTGATTCAGGTGCTGTGTAGTTGCTCGGCTCCTGACAGATGTTCTCTTGACACAGGGGTCCCATTCATCTTTTTCTAGTAGTGGGATTTTGTCCAGGTTCTCTCAAAATCTGAAAAGTACCTTTTCCTGAAAGAATTTCCTCATGTAACTTGAACTAACCCAGGGTCTGAATTTCTGAGTTGTATCAACTGGTTTCTGAGTGAGACAAGGATTAGATAGGACAAAAACTCAGGTCTACCTTCCTGACTCTCACAGGCAGTGTTGGTATAGTAAATGTCACCTCGTCTGAGTGATAGTTGCTTGAGTATTGCTTTGTACAGAGATAACTTTTTCTTGCAGGTGTTTGAAGCTAAAAGTGGAAAAAAATAAAATGTTGGCCACATCTGGGGTGAAAAAAGCAATATTTGACCGGCTGTGCAATCAGCTGGAGAAGATAAGCCAGCAACTCAGCAGTAAGTTTTTTGGCTTTATCCCTGTACCACAGCATACCCATCACCTGGCCTCACAGTGCCCCCTCCTTCTCCACTGGTGATTTTGTTCTGATCACTTTCAGCCGTTCCCTTTCAGTCAAACCTGCCCATCCATTCCAACATGTTTTCCATAGCCCAGTTCCCAGTCACAGTGATTCCTTCTGGGGAAGTCAAAACAGCTTAGCTTATGTCAAGGCCAAAAATAAATATTTTCCTCTCTTCTCAAATGCTCACTGTTCCTTACATTCTCTGCTGCTGCAATTTCTTCCTTGCTTCTCCCATACTACCTGACCTATCTTGAATTCCTCCTCCTTGCTTGCTTTCTACATCCCGTTAACATGGCAACATGACACACAAATTAACATAAACATCTTGCTACCTCTCTGCTGCTTGGACTGACTCACTTCTGTGTTTTCCTTTCCCCCACTGCAGGATTAACAAGCCTAAGCCTTGCTCTTCTGGTAGTAATTCAGCCATTACCTGACACCATCCCTCCACATATGGCTGAGGAACTTTTCTGACCTGGTCCTGAACCTGCAGCTCTCTCCACTTCTTTTTGTGGAGGAAGAAAATGGAAATACGACACACATTTTCCTGTCCTTATATCTCTGCTCCTTCCTACTTGCCTCCTTTCTCCTTTCTCCGGCTTTCCTTCCGACTGTCCCACTGACAGTACCCCTCCTTCACCCTGTCTTCAAACTTCATATCATGAAGGTTCTGGATCAGTTCAGGGAAGAGTGTGCACTTGGACAGCCCCCAGCGCGTTGTGGGCATCTGAAATACAAAGTGTGGAAATGGGATAGAAGGAGAAAAATATAACTGAGAATCCTGCCTGAGTAGTCAAGCAGGGTAGCAGTGTGGTTTTGGGGTATGAACAAATGCAGCAGCAGCACTAGTTAAAGCAGCCAACCAGTCCATGCAACCCTCAGGGTGTGCCTGCACCTCTGCACGTAGAGCTTGGCCATCAGGCTGGACCAGGGACCTGCCCTGAGTGGGAGACAATACTTCTGGAAGGTGGCACTGCTGCCAAAGAATTGCGTGTAGAACACCACCTGTGGGGCCCCAAACACCGTTCAGAAGTAAAGCAACTTACTTATTTTTTTAGAAGAAGACATTCCAGTGGCTGCAGAGACACCTGAAAGCTTGCAGACCGACCTGGAGCACTGGGAGAAGGAAGATGGTAAGTTGTGTTTAGCTGTGAACTAAAATCACCTCACCAGAGCAGGTCCCAGCTTTAGTGCTGCTCAATGTTTTAGTTGTGTAATAAACCATAACATTCAGTTCCCAGCAGCTACTGCATTCTGCAAACCACTGGCTAATGAAGGGACAAAGAGAAGCCAGGAGACACATAATGGTGTTTATAGCGAGTAGTCCTGGTAGAATTAAGGACAACTCTTGCATTCAGACACGGAGGTGAAAAGGTGACTGTTCTGGTAGGGGAGGGGAGCAGCAAAAGGGGATTAGATAACACAGGAACAGACCTGTCTGTACATTTCCTTCCTGCCATGATTATTCCCAGCAACATATTGCTCATCATTGCCTGTCACGGACTTTCTCCTTCTCTCACAGGACCTGAAGATGAAGAGGAGATGCCATGTAAACGGCCAAAGACAGAAACAAAGCAAGACTATGAAGAATGGAAAAAGAAAATCCTAGAAAATGCTGCTAAGGCCCAAAAGACAAGTAGGGGTACTGTCTCTGTAGTGCCACCAAGTAATACCACTGCTGCTTGCTCCTAATTTTAACCCCCCCGTCTGCTCTAACAAGAGTTCCAGTAGCATTATCAGTGATGGCTGCCTGGTAGCCAGCTGATTTTATTAGTTAGTTTTTAAGTATTTAAGAATGTTACTTTTAGTAAATGACACCAGAGTTGAGGTGATTTTACAAGGAGCTTGTCTGACTCCGTGCCAGGCTGGTACCTGAGCAGCTGTGGCATTAGGTGGTACAACGGCTTCATTCTGTTGCTGCAGGAAGCAGGTAACTTCTAGTGATGTGCTAAGTGTAATGAAGTTGTAAGTTATATGTCCTTGGGCCCCTGGATGGAAGCAGTCAGGGAAAAAAAGAGGGAGGGGACCAACGGTGCCTTGTTAAACTGCAAAACCAGCAGAGGAATTACAACCGATTTTTTTATTTTATTTTTTTTTTTACTGTAGAAGAAATATTGTTTAGTCACTGAATGTGACTTGTTTTTATGACCTGTGTGGGACTGAAGTCTCTCGTGTTTGTAAGGGGTCCCAAATATTTCAAGAAACAATAAAAATACCGGAAAGAAAAGCTCTGTATTATGACATCAGGTTTTTGGCACTTGTCATATATAAACCCTTAGAACACAAAATAAAAGCCACACAGGAGATGTCTGTGCTTTAAGAAGGAAGAGATCCAGGGGACAAGGATCTTGTCTGGGTATTAATACAGGATTTTGCATCTCACACATAAACTTGTAAAGAGCACAGAGTGCCCTGCCCTGTAGTTCTTAGAGGCAACTTCTGCAGCCCTACACTTCCATCCCAGCTACTCAAACTGCAGTTTATGTTAACTATTTTTTATTTTTTTTTTGGAAGAAAAATTACAACTTTTTGCAGTGCAGGGCAAATAATAAAACCCATTTAGTCTTCTCCCCATTTCTCTTGCACGTTTTCTGCCTGGGGTGTGCAAAGAGAAGTTAACTTTCATAAACCCTTGTTTCAGAACACCGTAGAAAACCTCAAGTGTCCATATGAAGCAAGATAAATTATCTCTGAACATTTAGATTTGAAATGCTTCTCAACAGTATTTTAATGGCTTAAACAGTATTTAACACCTCCCTGCTCACTTGGGTGACACGGATTGTACCAGGATTGGTATCAACTATCACATTAAGTGCTTTAGGTATCAGTGTATGGGTCCAGTTCTTTTTGTCATACTTACAGGTCACCTGTGCTTGGTCCTTTTAGCCTTTTTTGTAGAGCCCCCAAAGCAAAATGCACAGGACATCCCCCGAGGCTGCAGGGGTGAGTTTCACTGTACTGCAGAACCACGTGATGGCTGCCAAATGTAAAGGGATTGCTTTCTATTAGGAACAAAATAATAATGCTGGTGGCCAGGTGCACCTTCTCTTTGTAGAAAATAGAGAGGAAATATGTACCAGTGTCATGGTTTTGCCTGGGAGGGAGTTAACTTTCTTACTAGCAGCTGGTGTTGGGCTCTGGTTTGGATTTGGGATGACAAAGGGTGATGATAGCTCACTGGTGGCTTTAGTTGTTACTAAACTCTCAGGGCCACACTGCCCCAGTAGGGAGCAGGGTGAGGGGCACAAGGAGTTGGGAGGGGACACAGGTGGGACAGCTGACCCCAACTGACCAAAGGGATAGTCCATACCATGCTCATCATGCTCTGGGGGAAGCAGGAAAGGGGGACATTCGAGCCCAGCTTTCCTGGGGACGGCTGAACACCTACCTGCCCATGGGAAGTAGTGAATTAATTCCTTGTTTTGCTCTGCTTGCATGCGTGGGGTTTGCTTTACTTATTAAGCTGTCTTTATCTCAGCCCAGGAGTTTTCTCACTTTTACTCTTCTGACTCTTTCTTCCATCACAACTGGGGGGAGCGAGGTTGTGGCTGCCGGCTGGGGTTACACCACAAGAAGACGACAGAGAGCATCCGAATGTTACCCTCTTAAAAAAACCAGAGGAAGCAGCACACAGTAACAGGAAAATTAAAACTTACCAGACATTTTCCTTTCACCACTTCTCCCAATGCATAAAAAAGAGGAAATCACTTGAAGCCAACTTAGCTTTAATTCGCAAGAACTAATTTCGTTCCAGATGCGAGTTCTGAGATAAAGAAATGTAACAGTAACTATCAGGGAATGGACTCCCAACAAATGCCTGATGTGCAGGAAAATACTGGACAATTAACCCACACTGAGTAAGAGCTCTTAACTAAATGTCTGCCTTTTAAAGCCTGATCACATACAGGTCCTCAGGATGGGAGAGAATCCCACCTCATACATTCACATTCTGTTGAGACCTACTCGGAGATGCTTTCAGGTTTGGTGAAATGGTTTAAACAAAAAATTGAGGAATAGACTTGTTCTTCCACTTTAATGGAATTTATTAGTATTAATTCAGAAATATACAGACCAATTAATATAATCACATTTAGCATGCAGAACCACTGTGGAAGGAAAACACGAACAAAAGTGGGCCTTCACAGAAGGTGATACATTGTCAAGATTATTTCACTTGATTTTAATAATTCTTTGTCTGAATTCTGGAAGTGCTGCAGAAGTCCAGGACTCAGGGCTACAAAAAGAGAGAAGCACTACAGTGGAAAAGATAACTAAGACCAGGGGAAGCCACTCTTACAAACCTCTTTATTAGCAACCAACACATCTGCTAATTCAAGAGACGTGAAAGTCCATAAAGTTAGAGAGAGCTTTGCAGTGGTTTGCTGCCTTTGCTGCAAAGCTAGTTTTACTGGTATTAGTTTTTCCTCAGAGCCCATCCAACTCACACTGAGTATTGCAGAATCTAGAACAGGAATGAAGGAAATCACAGGTTTAATAAATAATGTTAATACTTTTAGCTGAGATATTGTAAGTGGCTCCAACTCTTTATACATCAGGAAAAAGTTTAAAATCCAAAATAAGTTAGTATCGTGAAGAAAACATTTAACGTTTAAGAGCAAAGTGGAGGAAAAAAGGGCTTCAGCATCCTCCCAGAGCTATAGGGAGAGCCTGCCAATGCACTATTTCCCTGCCACTCAACAGCAATAAAACCTATTTTGCATATCACACCATATCAACTTCTCAGACTTCATTAAAATTGTCAGGAAAATAAAATCCCCTAATTAAAACTTAAGAAAAGGGCTGCAGTCACAGTCAATGAGAAGCACTTACATTGGGAAACCTATTCTTTCTGGACAACACAAAAATCTTTATCCACAGGCTCAACAGTCATTATGCAATTTTTATTTGTGGCTATTTCAGCTGTTTTCTTCCAGAAGTTCAATTAATTCAGCTAAATTCAACTTACCCTTAGAAAAAGCAGCAATGGATCGACAACGACAGACTTAAGTTGCTTCAAACCAGGATTCCTTGTATTTCCTAACTATGCAGTGACTTTTTTAAAGGAGAGGGTAGAATAAAAAAGTCAACAAACCAAAACCATTCCACTTTGAGTAGTTGCACTGAATCATCATGTTTGGAGGAAAAAAACCTAATCTTTCTGGGAAAAATATAGAAGAAAAGGATATCCGATACCTTTTGTTTTAAGTAACAAACACCCAAGGGGAAAATCATGCCACTGTTGTGGCAGTGCTCTAAAACTGATGACGTACAGTCATGAAGAAAGTCTTTAGAGATCCCATCCTTAGTGTGAGAAACCAGGAAACTGGGATGATGTTTTCTGGTGTAAACACACCAACAACACTCGGCAGAATCAAGGCCTTCAGCGAGAAATCAGCAATAACAACCATGTCTTTCCATCACTGTGTACAACAACTGAAAGCTTGTAAAAACAAACAAGGTAGCTTCTGCTTTTAGAAATTATTCCAGTGCCTCTGCCTTGAGGCACTTCTGGAACCTTAACACTAACACACATAGTATTTGAGGAGGATAGACCCAAAACCTTATGTTGTAAAACCAAAAGCATAGAAAATTATTGAAGATACTGAGTCCCATGGCTTCATGTCCATCTCCAGGAGTGGTCAATGCTTCATACAAGCTCATTCAAGCTTGACAGATGTACTCTGAAATCTCTTCAGCCTGTTAGCAGCAGCCACCACATAAAAATGTTTCTGTCAACAAAACAGAATAGTCCAAGTGTGAGTACAACTGCAGTAAAGGACCTTCTCTGAGGCTAACATGAGGTTTTCTTCATGGTAAATCCATCTACCTCCCAGTGACCCACACCTGTGTAGCCTGCAGCATAGATCAGCTTTGTATTGGGGAACCACTGATTACTGCAGAACAGGCTGGTGGTACTGTCAACTTCTGCAGCATTATGATGAATTGTACAGTGACACATCTTTAGATTATGTATTTTTTACAATGCAAGTGGTGCAGAAGTGGAAAAAATCATAAGCCTCTAGTTTAACTCCTTGGCAAGGAATTACAGCTCTCCAGGGACAAAAGAAAAGGAAATGCTCCTGAGTTTTCCTCACGTTTCCACACACTTCTTTGTAACAGCATCACTGTGTTCACCTTCCAGGATCAATTACCTACAATCCAATACAGGCTTTTATAGAAATTCTTATCTATCACTTTTTTCATGCAAAAATTAGTTCTGAAGGAGGATGGGATTATGAGAAAGGTCCTGAAGGGCTCTCTGGATGGGTTTGAGCATATTTTTTTCTCTTTCCCAGACTCCTCCTCCCTGCAATGGGAGGCACAAAACTGCCTTACGTTGTAACCCTATTCCATAGTGACAACAGAACAACCCAACTGCTGTCAGTGGGTCTCTCCAACATGAAGAGAAAGAACATTTAATATCAGCGAAGTAGCATCTGAAGTCTCTGAACTCGCAAAGATAAAAAAAAAAAAAAGGTAAAACTTCTAAACACCACTCAGGAGGAGTAAAAATTGAAACCAAACTTGCTAAAAACAGAATCAATATCATTCTGCAGGAGAAAAAATTTAATTTACAATTGAAAATAGACTTCCAAACCTCATATTTACAAGAGAGAAGCCCATGGACAAAAGTGAGCCATCATACAGAAAAAGAGGGAACAGCTCTGCCTGTGTGGAGCTGATGTTCCCTCTGGACGTAGATTTGCCAGGCTTTACGTGTTTACCTTCCATTTTCTGTGAGTCAGGTAACTCTGCAGCAACAACTGGGACCTCAGACGAAGCTTGAACTTCTTGGCTTTGGCAGGCAGGTTGTTTAACCACTCGTGCTTCAGACACTGCGTTGCACTCATCCGGCAGCTGCAGGAGAGAAATCTTTCATGTAACTCCAGCTACCCCCATTGCCGTTCTCTCAGTGCCCTGTAGTCCTCAATATTTTTGATAAAGAAACTGCTTTAAATGAACAAACAGCTGCTTTAAATCAACAAACACAAGTGTGTGGAAAGACCTCCTGAGATGCTGTTAATCTTGGTGCACAGGATCCTAATGCCAGTGTGAAAGGTGAGTGGTATGAAAAGCTTCTGGAGGATCTGCAGTGGGTTGATGACGCTGTGGTTAAATACTGTATTTTGCCTTTTTAGGGTTTGGGTTGGGGTGTGGTTTTTTTCTTTGAAGCAGCAGCTGTCCAGGCTCATCAGTTAATGTATCATTTTTTTATGTGAATGCAGAACTCTAAGAGAATCAGTGCATATAGAAAAATAATATCTGTGCTGTTATCTGCCTGTCCTGATAGTGCAGGCTTATTCCATGCCTCATATTTAAAAAGCACAATTGTCTATTCACCCTAAACTTGGACCAAGCTAAGCATTATATCCTGGCATTCAACAATGAGCCCAAACGTGAAGGTCTATCCCAAAGACACTGAGAATTATATGGTAATAGAGGAAATCTTAGGGGAGAGATGGTGAGAAAAAATGTTTAATTTGCCATTTTTCCAAAACAAGCCTATGCCTAACTCCTGAGCTTTGTCTGAGCTGTCAGTGGGGAGATGATGAAAAGAAGGCTCCTGCCTGCTCACATCTAGTTTCAGTTCTTCAGGGGAGGCAGGTACAGATCTTGCCCAAGGCCAGACCTGCTGTCCCAGCATGGCAAAGGTGCCCACTCTGTAGGACACCGGGAGCTGTCCCATTATACCTTGTGAACAATTAAACCAATTAATCATTGCTCTTTGCATCTCTCTGACAATACTCCACTCTTGCAGCCTTTCATTCACAGCTTCTAGCATCGTCTCCCTCTGGAATATCTATTCCCATTGCACAGAAAAATGGAAGACTCCAAAGCAAAGTTTTACGGTCTCACAGCAAATCACCATCACAGTCTGAGACAGAGCCCTTTGCTGTCTCCTGCTGACAATACGCTAAAGCTCAGTTTATTATTTCATGAGACTTATTGTTCAAAATGTAGTTATTACTAGAACTGATTTGTCTGATTTTGGTAGTGATGTGGAAGTCGTTAATATTCTAAGCACTCCTTTGAGTTCCCCTCGACCACACGATCTGTTTTACTGTACGCATCATTTCCTGTTTTGATTAGTTTTGTATCACTGCTCAGCAAGAGAAACACTTCTCTACTCCCTTACCCAGCCCCATAGCCATGGTCTGACATCAGCATCATCCTCCTTCTCTCTTGTTCCCTACGAGCAGTCACTCATTTCAGTGGAGCCAAGGCCGAGAAGCCACATGCAGAGTTAAGTCCCAAATGCTCTTTAATATCTACCAAATGCATGTAGACCACTTTAGAAGAGAACAATGCACATTTTCACAGCTGCAGCTTCCATTTATCCTCCATGGCATTCAAGAGATGTTATTGCAATTTGTGTCAGGGCTTGTGAGAATCCAAAGTAACAACAGAAACTGCTTTTGCTCAGAGAAGGAACACTAAAGACGGCAAATTCTCCCAGATTTCCTCTGTTCTGCCTGTGTTGATGTTACCATGAAAACCAACTACCTGCAGTCAAGGTACACAGCCATTTTTCTTTTAAATAGGGCCTTTTGAATCCCTGAGGAACTGCCCAGCAAGCACAGATAGAGCACACAAAAATGTCACGTAGTAAGTTCTCATTGTTGGCTGCAATCCAAACATTGTTGGCTAGGAGGAACTTAACGTTCTTAGGTGCTACTGTCCTCACAATCAAACAAAGAGGTACCTTTTCTCTTTCACAAGTAATCTGGAAATGAAGTCTTTAGCTTCCTCTGATAGCTGTTCAAATGCTTCTGCATCAAAATCCCAGTTGCAATTGACTACATAATTCATCGTCTCCGCGTCTGTTTCTCCCAGGAATGGGGACAGGCCACTGAGCCTTAAAAAAAAAAAGAAAGAATGGGAGGGAGATGAGTATTTGTCACAGGCAAGATGCATTTTTCCTTCTATGAGTGCTCTGCTTTATAATCATTGTTACCTTATGGAGAGGAAAGACTCTCAGCTGTGGGTGATCCCACTTCTCAATCCCTGCCAAACTAAGCCAAGAGTGTGGAGCTATAAAGCCTTGCAATGTTAGAGTTACTCTCTAGCAGTTTGCTCAGCCAATCTGCTGTTAACAGACCCCCAAGGAAACCAATTCTGAGGGATGTAGGTACACACTCCAGTGCTCTCCCAGCTGGGAAAGCTAGGGGGACTCAAGAGCTTTCCTAAATCAAGGCCGTACCATATTTTGTTTGAATTAAACTGAATTCTGAACAATGGCATGCTTTTTTCAATTAGTCTCTAAGCCCAGATTTATTGCTTCAGTCATTTATTACTTCATTCAGTTGGGTTTTGGCTAACGTATGAATTTAAACCAGAAATGTACCCAGTTCACAGAAAGCATCTGGGAAAGATTCTGGGATGCAAAGTCAGCTCCCCAGAAGGCAGAGCTTTTGGACAGACAGGCTGTCCATGGCCACCATCCAGATATCAGAGAAGAGTTTGAGCCCCATTTGTGACATGACATTTTGTAGACCCGTGGCCTAACACCCAACATCAACTCCTTTGTGCAGACACACGCCAAGTCCAAGCTACTAAAATGATTAGATTGCAAATTCAAAAATTAATTTAAGTCCTCAAGAACGCAATCAAAATGAAAATTCTGACCTGCTTTGGGGAACTCTTCTAAGTTAAAAAAAACCCGACCTGACCCATTTTACCTTGCTAAATAAGATGGCAAGAAAGAACATTTACATATTTATTAAAAGGATTGATTTTTTAGAGACTGTATGCACAGCAAGCTGCCTTTGCATTCAAGGCTGGGTTTTTTTAACAGAATTAATTAAGAGGAGTCACAGACAGTTGGGCTCAGTGGTTGCTGCGTTCCTGCTCTGCAGATACCCTCCACTGGTGTGCTCCCGCAGAGCTGGTGGTGCCACCACCACGACCCCTCACAGGGTTACTCACAACATGTATGTGATGACGCCTACACTCCACATGTCTGTTGGGAAGGAAACGAAGTCGTAGTTCACCACTTCAGGAGCCAAGAACTCCGGAGTCCCAAAATTAACCTTCAGTTTCTCACGAGGTTTGTACCTTGACCGGAAAGAGAGAGAAATCATTGCTGAGAGCAGATGTTATCCAACACCAAACAGATAAAGCAGTGTCCATTAGAACAGGTTTGGAGAGCATTTGCTTAGTGGGATGTACCCAGCTACAGCTCGGGGCAAAGGTCTGTATAACAGATATGAGCACAATATAACTGCTAAGGTGGGACTCTCAAGAGGATTATTTGGGCTTGTAACAAGTTAAACGGTGATCCATATAGGGAGAAAATTATTCTGGGTTATTGCTTAAAAGAGAAAGATTATGAAACCGAACCAGTCAGTAATAGTCACTGATGGCAGCTGGAGTTATATCTGTGTACAGACAGAACAAACCATTAGAGCATTGCTTTTTCTCTATTTCCTGGAATACCTTGTTTTCAAAGCTGCTTTAGTGGAAGATTGCTTCTTTAGCTTCCCAACTTTTAAAAAAAAAAACAACCACAAAACAAAACAAAAAAACCCCAAACAACCCCAATACCCCCCCCCAACCTCAATGTTCTGTTTTCATAAAATACTTCTAAAACAAAAAAGTCCTTGGACAGATATACAGACACGTAGGTACATATATGCATCAATGTACCAGATTTTGACCTTTAAAAAGCCTCAAAGGGTTTAGAAAAGAAATAGAAATAGAGTTTTGTACTGTTTACTGGACTCCTGTTAACAGGAGATGTTCCTTTTGATTGCAGGGGAATTGATTCATGCTCCCACTGCTTTCCTTCAACAAATTCATGCCAGCAACATAAAAGAATGGAGAAAAGTCCATATTTTTCCGAGTGTTTCCTGTTACATATGGGATGGCTCAAACACGTTTTGTTTCCCCTCCCCAGCTTCAATCTATGTAAGAGTTTAGCAGATAATTTCCACAATTTGAACCTGCACAATAAAACCCAGCAGTCAAGAAGTCTCTGAGAGGCTTCACAGAGTCCCTAGAGTAAAAGCTCTACATGGGGAATAATTTTGAGATAATTAGAACAGCAGTATAGCTTTATCCAACAGAAATGTTATTTGGGAAGTGTAATTAGATAATTAATGCACACAGTAGAAAACGCATGCTTGCAGCAGCACACTGCTTAGCTTATTCACATAGCAAAATTACTTTAGAGTCATCAAAATACATTAAAAAACCCCAAGACCTACCAATAATGTGTCAGAAGGTTTGGAGTTTGTTTTGGTTTTTTTTTTTTTTTTTAAATAAATTCATAACTGAACTTTCTTACCTCCTTGCTAATCCAAAATCAATAATTTTAATCTGGTTTCCTGTGTGGTTTACACATAGTATGTTTTCAGGCTACAAAGAGAGAAGAGGGTATTTTGAGTTAAATGTATGACTGTTTGACAGAGAGATCTAGCAAAAAAATGTAACGATCTCAAAGATTTTAATCATAATTTTTAGTATAATACATTTCCTTCTATTCCTGTCATGGGAGAGGAGGATTTTGGCATACTGTGTTAGTGAAAGGTTTGGTTTTGGACCTCCCATAAAGAAGTCTAACTTTTGTTCCTATATAACAATATTCCTGTATTTTACTATAGATGACAATAGATTTTGAAATCGAAAGGCCCCCCCGTGTAAAACGGCAGAGTCAGGCTGATGGTTGAGGCTCACCCACTGGATTTACTCCTTAAGTATAAAAGGAACTCCATAAAAAGCCACAAGAAATATGTCAAATGCATCCTTTGGTTTGCCCACAAAGGCAAAAATTTGTTTTTTTATAGAAGGATATTTTTCAAGGTGGGGACAGGGGGGATGATGGTGTCCAAATTTATTATAAATGCAGAACTGTCTACAGGCCAACTGGGTCTAACATAATTTGTGTAAGGCACAGTATAAACAAGCAGAAAAAACACCCCAGTTTTTCTTCTGAGAAAGATCAGTTATTGAGGGGCCATTATGAAAACACTGTCATTTCACTGCAGTTCAGTTCCAGGCAGAAAAAAAAATACAAACAATAGGAAGAAGACTGAATAGGTATTTGAACACAGCTACAAGGCGGGTAGGGGCTGTGGAGAGAAGACTGGAGGCATTTCTGGCCAAAGAGGAGTTTGGGTGTGGTTTTCTATTAATGACAAAAGGGCATTGTTTAATTCCACACAGAATGAAAAGCTTCTGATTTAAGAGAGGCAAAAGCACAGAACCCTGTTCATTTCACGGTCCTAAGCAAGCTACCAAATAGACACTGAACAAAAAGTCATGGGTCTCTAGAGCCCCATTCATTGTGGCTATTGAATTAAGTAAGTTTATTCCTTTGTGACGCAAGTCCACGAAATGAGAAATGACTCTTGTAATGAGAGGCTCTGTGGTGGTCCAAACCACAGCATCGCCAAAGAGCAGAGAGCATGAACTACTGACCTTCAGATCTAAATGCAGAATATAATGCTGGTGCAAGTAGTGGACTCCTTCACAAATCTGTTTGGTGAACAGGATTGCGTCCAACTCAGTTAGATTGTAGTTTTCATCTGTGATCCGGTCAAATAATTCACCACCATCAAGACTAAAATTTTGACATAGAAAAGTGTTAAAAACCCTAAAATTCCTCATTAGCTCTATTTAATTCCAAGTTGGAAAACTTACACTCTCTAATTTAGCAAGGATCCTAACAATGCATCCAATATAAAGCGTATCAGTAGACTCAATGACTTCAGGAGACTTATTTCTGAGTGTGAAATTCAGTATCAATCTAAATTCAGAACTGGAAAAATTCTCACTAACATTTGGGGGGATGTATGTAAAACCCAAACCCACATGACCTGATGATCCAATGGGGACCTGGAGAACCTACAGGGAGTACCAAAGTATCTATTATTCACTAATCCTATTAGTCTAGAGAAAATAAGTCTTCAACCTATAAAATTTACTAAATGAAGTTTCTCAAACTGAAAGCTATTTTACATAAGCTGACCATTGAATTTAATTATGCATAAAAATTAAGAGAAAATGACATCAGACATACAGCTCTGACAAGTTTCTGCAAGGTAAAAACTTCAGGTATTAATTTAAATATACACATTCTAAATGTCATATTTATATTTCATTTTGTATGGTTTCTTCCTTCAGTTCTGTAGCAGAAACTCAGTTTTTAGGTTATAAAACTTCAGGGTTTTGTAAAGCAATATGCCACTACACAGAAAAGGCAGATGTAAAGTCATGTTCATCATGAAATCTCCCTTTTATGAATTCTGTATTTTATATAGATCCAAATTCTTATTTAGTTTCAAATGGGGAGGCATTTTTATTAATCTTAAATTATTCAAAGGAGGCAGACCATGCTTATAATTAATCACTTTCCTACCTTCTCCATGTCTTGTCTAATTCTACTTAAAACACCTCTCTCCTCTTCTTCTCTGGGTCTCTCACTTTCACTCTTTCCCTAATATGCCATTTTATTTACCCACAGTACTTCTATGTAATTTGGCAGCTGGAGACAGTGTTGGGGCCCATAAGTTAAACCTAAATGAAAAATGATTCACAGCGAAGATGTGTTCACAAAAACCTTGTAATTGTGTCATGCTCTTGAAGACAGCTGCCTTTCTTATCGTTTGTTTAAACTGTAACCTTGCCAAATACATTATTTTTAACCTGAAGAAATTGCCTTTAAAACATTTTATGATTTTTTTTCTCATGAAAGTGAAATCAATTCTCTTTCAGGCTGGGAAACTACTCAAGTCTTCTTCACACCTCAGAATTATCATTCCATACTGCATTTAGTGACCTGAGAAAACCCAAACATCTGACAATTCCCGAGATCATTTCAACTTACTATTCCATGATCAAAGTGATATTATTTTTGGCTTCAAATGCATCATAAAGCTGGATGAGATTCACATGGTTTAATTGGTTCATGATGTTAATTTCATTTTTTACTTCTTCCTGCAAAAAATAACAGTAACAAAAAATGAGCAAAATATGCTCCTTAAAGTTCCAATATATTCAAATAACATTATTTGTAAAACGCAATAACATTTATGCCACGGGTCTCGTGCAGACAGAAGGTTTAATCACAAAGAGGGGAGATGAGGAACAGCCATATAAGGATTTTACAATATTTGATAGTACGCAACGCCAAGCTGCCTCCCAGGGGCTGATTTGGGGAAGTGGTGTTAAGGTGCTTGCAATGAGGCCAGCTCTAGCGTGTGCTCACTTGGGTTCACAGCAACATACTCACCCTCTCCTTCGCTCCTTTCACTTTTATGATTTTGGCTGCCAGGTTGAGGCCAGTCGATATTTCCGTGCACTTGTGAACTTGCCCAAAACGCCCCCTGTTGAAACCAAACAAAAGATGGGAAACCGGCTTAACACAGCTCACCGCAGAAACTTTTCCTACAACTATTCTTATCGTTGATTAAAAATAGCACAGTACAAAGTGAACAGAATCAGGTGCCCAGCAGCGCGAATCTCCTCTTTCTCTCAGCTTACGAAGGATTAGTTTTATCTTTCCTGCCAGTTGTTCAATGCTTACATTAAAATATTATGCCCCCGTCGTATTACTACATTTCACTGCGGTATGATGACCTGATGATATTCTTTTTCGGTTCTGTAACTGTACCCGCTTGCTGTCCTTCACTGATGCGTTAGTGGGTATATTAACAAGGATATTTCTGTCCTGATCTCATAACTTTTTAAATGACTATAAGACCAGTAACTGTAGCCACTCCACAGACTGCATTTCTTGCGTGTTGTAAATTCTCCCTCATGTCACCCAGATACGTTAATGCCCCTTGGGATGATTTCTAAACACCATCTTCTCTGCTATTGCATCATCTGGCTTATACTTATTAAGCCATATTTGTACTTGGATCAACCTGTAAATCAAACCTTCTTGTCAGACAAGTAAGGATATGAGAATACAAAGGCTGAAGCAGCTGCAGACTTCCTATGAGTGAAAACTAAACATAAGGTCAAAATAATTATAACTTCTCCCTCGGTTTTCTTTAACGTGCAGTTCAGCACGGAAAAGAGATTTTGGAAGCTGCCTGACCTAACGGGCTTCGCTGACTTCAAATGCTCTCATCTGTCTGCCTGAAGGTTACAGGTTTTTCTCATGACACCAGCTGTGGCCAGGATTATTTTAACAAACGCAAAAAAACAGTCATTTGAGATCACAGTCTGGTGTCTGGAAGTGGTACTGGGGCAGAAACCAGTAATCTAAGGGACATTCCCACCACATACCCCAAAATCAACATCAGGTTGATACAAAGAACTCAGCAACTGTGGTAGCCCAAAAGGTCTCAAGGATGAACCTGCTGACTCTGGCTGCAGTGGGCTTGGGACCCTCTGAAGAAGACAGCTCTAGCTCCCCAGCTAACTGCATTTCTCCCTGCCTTACCCACCACCAGCTGTACCGCACTAGGGACAGGGATACTTACCCCCCCAGCACTTGGTGGCGACACACCGAGTAGCACGTTGTCACCTCCGTTTGCTTGACGCTCACTATGCGGTGTTCGAAAGGAGCCGGTGGAGAAGGGCTGTCATCTAAACAGGACACAAGCTGGTGAGCGAGATGCTCCTGTGCACATCACTGCACCCAGTTTCACCCACCTCACACCAGTGACTTCAGTCCACTGGACACACACATCACCTTGTTGTGTTTGCTGAGTGCAATGAGAAGTCTCAGCTGCCTCCTGTCCACACAGTGTCCACAAAACCACACTCTTGAGCTCCCCCCACCTTCACAGAATCATAGAATGGTTAGAGTTGGACCTTAAAGATCATCAATTTCCAACCCCCCTGCCCTGGGCAGGGACACCTCCCACCAGACCAGGTTGCTCAAAGCCCCATCCAGCCTGGTCTTGAACACCTCCAGGGATGAGGCTCTCCACAACTTCTCTGGGCAACCTGTTCCAGGCTCTCACCACCCTCACAGTAAAGTACTTCTTTCTAGTATCTAATCTAAATCTCCCCTCTTCCAATTTAAAACCATTACCCCTCATCCTGTCACTACATTCCCTAAGAGTCCCTCCTTGTCTCTCCTATAGCCCCCTTCAGGTACTGGAAGGCTGCTATAAGGTCTCCTCAGAGTCTTCTCTTCTCCAGGCTGAACAACCCCAGCTGTCTCAGCCTGTCTTCATAGGAGAGGTGCTCCAGCCCTCTGATCTTCTTCATGGCCCTGTGCTGGACCCATTCCAACATCACCGCTGTTCCTCAAGGGATGAACCCAGTTTCTCAGACAGGCATTGCTGAGGCAGAGCTGGGACCACAAACACACACACACACACACACACACACACACACACACACAGAGCTCCTGCCTGGTCTAGTATCTAATCTAAATCTCCCCTCTTCCAATTTAAAACCATTACCCCTCATCCTGTCACTACATTCCCTAAGAGTCCCTCCTTGTCTCTCCTATAGCCCCCTTCAGGTACTGGAAGGCTGCTATAAGGTCTCCTCAGAGTCTTCTCTTCTCCAGGCTGAACAACCCCAGCTCTCTCAGCCTGTCTTCATAGGAGAGGTGCTCCAGCCCTCTGATCTTCTTCATGGCCCTGTGCTGGACCCATTCCAACAGCACTGGTGTTCCTCAAGGGATGAACCCAGTTTCTCAGGCAGGCATTGCTGAGGCAGAGCTGGGACCACAAACACACACACACACACACACAGAGCTCCTGCCTGACCGCAGTCCTCGGTGCTCCTCCAGCGGTGGGGCTCCAGGGGAGAAACACCGGGGCCAACACAAAGGCCCCACAAGGCAGCCCCCCACCCCTGCTGATAACGCTGCTCGTGCAAACACTCAACCAGCAGAACTCCAGTATGAAATGCACTGCCCTCTCCTCCATCTTTTCTCTTTGCCTCATGTTCCTCTACCGCACCATCGTTTCTCCTTCTGCTGGAATTCAGACAAGCATTGAAGTATCTGGATAACACTAAGCATGCGATTCCTTCGCTATTTTTAGAGTGGCATGCAAGTAAAATAACCATTGCATTTGCAGCTAGCCCTAAGAAAGGAGGTGCTGACAATATCCAAAATTCCTCTGTTACTTCAAATGAGGGACTTTTTTACTACTAACCCCATTTTACAGATGAGGAATAAAGGCCCAGAACAGAGAGCAGGATCCCACCTCCCAAATCTCAACCCTGTTTTTTTTAAACACAGTAAACCCACTGGGCACCTTCATAAGATCAACATAGTTTATGCATTAACAGAAGAGATCACCTGAAAAAAAGTAACTGGAAATTTGAAGAAGTTACACTTGATTCTCTTTTAATCGTTTTATGGCAGCCGGAAAGACCAGCACGAATACACAGCACTGACAAATGATGACAGTTACTGGTAAAGTCAGGAAGTTTCTCCTGGCAGCAAGACTTTTGCAGACGATGTCCAAGTTAAAGCTGCAAATTAATGTGACAACTATCAGGTTTAGTCAGTTCTTGGGAAGCTAAACACTTAACATGCAAGTTTTTCTGGGGTAAAGCTTCCATAAACCCACTTTCAGTGTCCCCCATTCAAAGCAATTTTACAATTAATGTCCAGATATCTTGGGCTGCAATTTAACATGTTTTCAACCCATCTCCAGCCACTGCCGAGAAAGCCAGATCCGGGTCAGGACATCTACCCCTGTATGTACATTCTGGGACATACACTTATCTATGCTGCCAGGAGAGATTACTCCCTGAAACTGTATAATCAGCTGTTCATACAGTAATCAAGAAGAGATCTATGACAAATAACACAACAAAGACCACAGCAAGATTCTCTTCCTGCAATATTTTGCTGCTCTCTGGACCTCCAGCCCACAGCTGCTAAAGCATACCCAGGTTGCATACTCTATCTTAAGGGATAAATGCTTAATCTAAAGAAAATGGAATTTTTCAAAATTACTCATAATTCTGATCACACATATACTTCAGCCAATTTTATTTTAAATGAACTTTTTTTCCCCCCAAACACACTTTAAAAGGAAAATTACTATTAAAAGAATTCATACAAACGCTAATTCACTTGTGATTTACACAGTCAAAGGTACCAAAGGCATTTAGGTAAATGGTCTTGAACTGTAAGACACAGGTGGTCTACTGAGCACTGCTCCAATTAGTATTACATATATAGTATATATTGGAACACTATTATTAATTTTGTATATAACACACACAGGTAGCACAAAACTCTCAATGCAAAAGTTCCCAAGAGTAACTGTGAGTGACTTACCGATGACCATTTCCTCCTGGGAGGGAAGCTCTTTGCTGGCTTCCAGTGGCTTGTCCTTCTCTGGTGCCGTTCCTGCACACTGATGGGCATCGTTTTCACTTCCCGCTGAAGACGCAGACTCAGATTCTCTCCTCTCAGAATTGGTATCCCTCAGGGATTCTTCTGCTTTTGCAGTTTCTTGATGGTTTTTTGCTTCTACTCCCAGGTCTTTTGTAGGCTCCTTTGCAGAGGCATTCTGTGAGGTTACGGGCTTGCATTTCAATTCTGAGTTCTCTTCGGCCTTTTGCCCTGGTTTGGGCTTGCTCAGTAATGGCTGTTGCTTCCCTGTCTGAGGTGCAAGTTCATTTGGCTTATTGTCCCCTTTCACTTCTGGATTTGGCTCCGTGCTGATGTTTTTAGGACTCTGTTGAAGTTTTAATTTGTCAGGCGGCTGTTCGACTCCTTCCACTTCTGCTGGTGTGGAGGATACAGATTTTACTTTGGGGCTTTTACCTCTGTGATCATTTAAGTTTCCTTCCTTGGTTATCTCAATCTTTTCTTTCATTTCAGTCATATGTACATTGATGGATATCCTGCAAAGCAAACAGTTGACATTTTATGCAGATGACTAGCCTTGCTTTTGTAACTTTGTGGAGGAAGAAGAATCTGTAAGCTTCTGAAACCACAGATTTTTACAGTTTTAAAGAAATCTAACCATATCAATCCTCTTAGGAAACACTCACAAGGTTAAGGGAAGAGCACCAAAAAGTGTGCTGATGTTTTTTCTGTGTCCTCATCTGTGTATATGCCTGCCTTCTGCTGAACACAGTGTCTCACACTGCAAAGTATCAATCCCACATCTGAAAACTTACTTTTCTCAACTATTATAGTTGGTTTAATAAAATACCATCATCTCAGCAGAGAGGGTGCAGTGATTGCCTTCACAAATTACAGGCCGATTATCTAAATGACTGACTGCTCACACAGCTCTACAAATCCAGAGGTTTGCATCCATCCCAGTCCTCTTCCAGCTGGCTGACTTGCACACTCAAACATCTGTGTTTGTGTTTTCTGGTGGGACAGCATTCTTTCCACAGCTTTCTGTTAAAAATGTAACTTTCATAAACTCTCACTCCATCAATACTATATTCCTTGGCGTTCCAGCTACTGGAAAAGTTTGTTGGTTTGTTTTTTTCCCCTCTTGTGTCGCCTAAAAAGAATATGGGTTAAAACCAATTCTCTATGCTCCTAAAATCCACCAAAGACATTCGTGTGATAATTTTTGGATCAATTGTTATTGCTCCAACTGTCACGAGCACACAGTCTGATTTCAGTGAGGCTGAACTGCAACTTGTGGAGTTGTAAAGTATGTTTTACACAGCAGCAAGTAAAGAATATTTCTGATGTCTAGGAGAGAATGTATCTCATTTTCACAAAAGTTACTGCTTCTTTTGGTGGCGCAACCTTATTATAAAAAGAAATGTTTGCGCTTTTGCATAACAAGAGTCTGAAGTTTCTCATTTTCAGCACCTTTCACACCCTTGCGTTGTGCTATCAATCTCAGCCGCACCAGGGCGAGCTGTCGGAGCCGCTGAACACAGCTCCCAGCAAACACTTCCACTGCTATCTAGACAAGCCTGAACTCGGCAGGACTCGGGCGTTTCTCCAAGCAGAGGAACACAATGTCCTTTTGACACTTCTGCGTGGGCTTACAGACTTCATTAAAAGTTGTGTTCGTTTTAGAGAGGCATTTACCACCCTCATGTGACTTCACACACAAAAGCATAACAGGTACCCTGTGCAGGAAGGCCGGAGCTTCCCCTGGGCTTTACTCTAGGTTCTGCCTTCCAGTTATCCACCAGCCTCCCTCCTCCCCAAACCAAAGTCTTTGGGGCTCAGACACCCCCCTGCCCAAACCAACCAGCTGCTTATCTCCAAGTTAACAGCCTGGCACATCGCTATCAACCAGCAGTGATTTCCAAGGGGTAACGGTAACTGTTCCTCCACAGCTTCACCAACACCCTCAGCCATCCTCAAAGCACAGGCAGAGCCTCCGAGGCAGCGCTGCGGTGGGCAGCAGGGATGGACCCACTCCAGCTGTTACAGCACAGAGCCTGTGGCTCACCAGCCAGAGCCCAAAACCCACAGGGAAAATACAGGGAGGTCCCTCTGGTTTTAGTGTTGTTACAGCAACCACTTTGGAGGTAACAAGGTCTATAAGCTGTACACAAAGTTGTTCCTCAATGTTTGAAAAGAGGCCACAGTAGCAAAAGCTTGTACTTTCTCCTGCCACATCCTTACACTCAGCCTCTTAGAAAATAAATATCCCAGCGTGCCCGTCCTCACAGTGAGCCCTTTACTTCAGGAAGCCTATGCGCTGACATGACGACAACTTTAATTATTTTGGTAAATTATTCTTCATTCACTTTTTTTTAAAGAGTTCTGTAATCCCAGTAGACACCTACCCACTGCACGGGAATATTTAGGTGTCCACCTGACATTCACAACATACACAAGTTTTCAAATGAAAGTACATGTACACAAAGGTAGTGTCATGTTCTTGTCTTGGCTTCAGACACCAATGTGTACACAGAAACAATGAGGAAATTCCACACACAAAGCAACATGCACATACATATGTGTGTGTATGTGTGAGTGAGTCTATCATAGAATCACAGAACGGTTTGGGTTCAAAGGGACCTTAAAGATCATCCAGTTCCAACCCTCCTGCCCTGGGCAGGGACACCTCCCACCAGACCAGGTTGCTCAAAGCCCCATCCAGCCTGGCCTTGAACCCCTCCATACAAACACACATACATAAACAACTTTATATCCACCAGCCCAGACAGAGAAGGCAGAGCAGTTAAAATCTGCCACAGAACTTCCATCTGGTGGAGTTTTGGTTAGTTGGGGTTTTTTTGGTTGTAGGTTTTTGTTGTTGTTTTTTGTGGTTTTTTTTTTAATTAAAATAAATGGAATTAAAATAAAATCCTAAATAAATAATTCAAAAGGAAATGAATGATGAAAGAAATACTATAAAACACCTATATGAGGAAAAGATTAGGCTAACAGAGATCAATAAATGAAATATCTGGTCATATCTTTAGGTGGCCAAGGGATAAAAAACCACCACAAAACCACCAAGGACAGCAAACCAAACAACTTGTTTGGTTTTGTCGTATACTAGTAAGTATCTCAAATTCCTTTCATCCCCATGGTTATAGGAACAGCATACTTGAGCTATAGTAAGGTGGTCACCTTTCTACCTCTAATACACAGTAGCCCCAATCATATAAAAAAAATCTCCCACACATCTAGCCCTCTGACTTCTTGGTTTCACAGCAATTCACACAGAGCCCTTGCTGCTTTGAGTTTTTCACCTTAACCATTTGCAAAGTCTCACCACTTTTATCCTAGCATGGAGTGTTCTTCCCCTGGATCATGCCTCAGCAGGAGTTCCCTCCTTCAATGACCTGGCTTTTCTTCTTTTCCTTCTGACACACAAAATGATTTCAGATCACACAGAAAGCCACCAACAAGGCCATTACCTGGTATGTGTCACCTCACACCCTGTGCCAGATATAGCCTGGGATGTGGAGGGCACAGCTTCCCGGGACGCTGCACTTGATGATGGAGGTTTGTTTTCATTCTCTCTGAGTTTCTGGTGAACAAGCTGCCCATGGCACTCATCCAGGCGCGGGGCTCTGTCCATATCGTGTGCTTTAGCAGGAACATTTTGGTTGCCTACATGATCTTGATTTACGAAGGGAAGACCATTGTGTTGATTCAAAGCTTTGACACCAACGTCCTTTTGCTGTTGACAGCTCTTAGAGCTGTGTGTTTTGCCAGCACCTTCTACAGCTTGCTGCTGCGCTGTCCTCTCTTTAACTTGGGGTTTGGAGTCAGCTTTGTGGGCTCCAGCACTAGAAGTGTTCACCTTCTCACATGCTCCTTTGTTTTCATCCAGCTTTTTCCCACTTTTTGTCTCTGGATAAAATAAGCCATTAATAAACCATCTTTGACAAAAATGACAGCAAAACAGAGAGGGAATGAAGTAACCCACCTTTGAAAATGACCTATGTGGTTACATATATCTGAAAAGGTAGCAAGAAACCCCTCCCAAAAAGTTTTAAATCCTTACACCAGCAGCCTTGAGACAGCCATTATTAATGCTCATGGTTTAATCAGAAGTTTAACTGCTCTACTAGCTTTCCAGCAGCATTACATGTTGAATTTGGATTTCCATAAAGCAAACAAACGGCAAGGCTCAAGCTCACTGCATCTAAAACCTGAAATCACCCTGCAGGCAAATGTCACAGGCGGTTCAGGCACTGCAGACCCATCCAGGACCCAAACCTCCCTCTACCTGAATGAGAGGGGCAGGGACCCACTGAGTAAGACCCCAAGGAACCCTAGGGCTTGAGACAGTGCCTTTTGCATTTTCCACCAAAGGACAAGAAGGTTCTACAGCACCTTTTCATGACAACGGTTTTGAATATTAAACGGTGGAAATTTCTTGGGTAACTTCCTTCAGGATTCAGCACACACAGGTAACTGGTAATCAAAGGTAGTTCACAACCCTGTGAAGTTTTTGAGTCAAAATTGTGACCCCCTGCTTTATTTTTGTCACTTCCTAAACAATGAAGCTAGAAAGGGGATCTCCCATAGGCAATTCACTGACAATTTGTGAAGACAACAGCATGACAGGGCCTGCTCAACGTCATCTTCACCCCTGTTGCAACTCCACAGGCATTAACACGGGATGCAACAGGGCAATGCCCTGACAGATCCATCCTAAATAGGAATCTAACCCTGACACGGCAATGAAAACTTGTTGATGAAAAAAGATATTCCCAATGTCAACATGTTCCTTCTTCAAAGAAGGGGAGGAGAGAGGGGTGGTTCAGATATGTTAAGGACGAAGAATTTGTTAGGTTTGCTATGTGATATTGCGACTACCTTCGTGGTATCTCTGAACAAGTACTGCTCTCTTAATTCAGCTGTCACTCCAAAGCAAAAAAACCTGTGCAGCCAAATAAAGGTGCTGCTTTTAGTTTCTTCATCTTTTAGCATTTTGTGGGGTTTGATCTTGGGGGGCAGATCATCTTGTGGAGGAAGCGAGAACAACTATTTTCCGAGTACTGGTGGACAAAGTTACTCAGTTACGTCTGAGTAATTCAGGTAGTGGGAAATAGCAGGCTATTAATTTCCAGTTTGTCTGCTGCACATTCTGGAGTCAAAGCTTGGAGCATTCCTGGAGTGATACATACCTTCCAGAGGCTTCTTGCTTTCAGTTTGGGTTCCTCTGTTACTAAGCACATGCTTAGGTTTTGCACCACTCTCCTCAGGTTTATCTTTGGCCTAAAAATTACAGGGGAACACAAAAATAACAGTCATGGCCAAGAGTGTTTATTTCCTACTAGGTTACTCCAACCATGTAGGTATTCAGAGTCTGTGAACAGACACCAACACCTCTGATCTTCTGAATTTTTAGTTACTGCTGTGTTTACCACCTTCCTCCAATCTCTCCCCGCTTTTGCAGACAGGGGATACTGCATAAAACAAGCTGCATACTTCTAGAACAAGATAGCACAGAATAACACATTAGCCTGCCACTTTCCAAAATTTTGACTGTCAAAGATTTTGCCTCCTGTCATCTTTACTCATTATTAGAAAACATGACATGTGTGACATACGAGAGAGATTAGAAAAAGAAATTATACTGTGTTTCTGTTGCTTTTTGGCTGGTGACTGAAAGATAAGCAAAGTCTCTGAAGATATTGTTAACGTATTTGTCTCATGGCATCTAATGATTCATGATTTGAGCTAAGATAGAAACGATACCAAAAAAAGCCCCTAGCTTTATGGTAACTCTTGTGTATGTACTTGATGTTACACATGTCACCTTTGGCATGGCTAAAACCAGACTTATTGTCTTTTAGAAGCAGATTTTTATTTTTAAGCAGATTTCTTCCTCCAATTAAGAAAGGACAGAGGAGAGAGATATGTAATAGCACCACTAAACACTCCACACAGCAATACATTTGAAATCATATTAAAACTAAATAACTAATATTTAGCAAAAAGCATTACACAAAAATAGGGAAAGGCATAACTTACTTCTTGGTTGACATATAGTTAAAAATCTAGTGATGAGCACCCTCCTATCTGTATTTGTACAAGCAATTAAGCAACATGTAAAATATTTCTGCAGATAACTCTGATTACAAGGTTGCTGCAAATCAGCCGCTTCATTTGTTAGTAAAAGCAGTTAAGGATTTCATGCTCTGACCATACAGATTCCCCAACAAAGGCCCCCAACCTCCCCCTTCCCAAAAAACAAAACACCCAAAGAGTAAAAGTAGTAAAAAATCATTACCATTTTTATTACAGCTCTAAGCAAACCTGCAACAATGACCAGGGGGAGCATTATTCTTGCAAAATCCTACGTGCAAAGAAAGCCTTGGATAAGTGACAGTTTAATGCTGGTGGGTTTTTCTGTCTGTTTATTTTCTAAATAAGAAGTTAAGAGGTTTGGATCCTATGAAGCTCAATATTCATAGTCTTTTATTGATTTGACTCCAGCCCTGACAGACTGCTTCCATAAGTATTCCCGTGGCATCCCTGGAATGCTGTCCTGCCATCAAACAGCTTCCCCCAGAAATGAAAACATGACCTTCCCCGCTCCCATCCCATACTGGGTAACCTTGTGCCGAGCCAGCCCCACCACAACCAGCAGGCTCTTACAAAACAGCAAAGGCTGGAAAACAGAAACAAGCAGGTAGCAAATCCCTTCATGTGAGCAACCCCCCTGCAGCTGCAGAGCTCTTTGGACATGTCTATGCCACGATCACACAACAGGCTGCAAAAAACTAGACCAAAGTTAGCACATGGCTCAGCGCAAGCTAATTTGTTTTTAAATTCACCCGTGCTTTGCTCCACGTTACCCCAGCTAGGTCACGTACAGACACTACCTCACTAATTCAAGCCTAGTTCAAATATCACTAAACAGCCTGTGATCAAAGTATAGACATACCTTAAGGTCTTAAAACTGACCTTATGCTCTGATATCAAAAACTGTTCGTGACCAGAAACAGAAAAGGAGAACAATGATGGTCATATTGCAAACCTGGAGTTAGTCACAGAACTCTCCGCTTGCCCGATACACGTTGCCAGTTCTATGATTGAGCCAGTGGTTACAGCCTGGGACAGAGACCTCCACCCATCCTGCTCCATCAGCTCACTCATCTCTATCCACCTATCCATAAAACTTGGATGAAGCTCCGACCTCCTTCAGCCTCCTCTTTTGCAAACACCGCCGAGGAGGCAGTGCATAGTGGCTAGTCAACAGCTAATCCCGACAGTATGCTAGAAGTCCATGTGAAACATTCCTCCAGGATCCCTCACATCACCTCCTTTATTTACCTCCCTCCTCACTGCTCTTTTCACTTAGAAACTGACGATCTGGAAACAGAACTAGTTAACCATCTTTCTGCTGATCTTCACCTGGCCACTGACACGCTGTGCACTGCCGGTTCAGTTGGAGGTGTAAAGTCTTCCAGGGACTGTATCTGCCTCCAGGCATTTTGCAGTGACTGCAGAGTAACTTGTAACAACACAACACAACAACACAAAAGCCATCAAACTTTTCCATTTCTCTAAAAATCCATAGAAATGAAATTGGAACTTCAAGCAAGTACAAGGTTCATCTCTATCCAGAATTAAGAGTGATACTCAATGTACAATTTATTGTTCTCAGCACTAATGGAAACTCTTTATATATTCTTCTGTCTCCTAACAGCCTAGCTCACTTGGCAGCCTCTGGCACTTAAAAAGGGAGACCAAGAGAGCAGTCAAAAAGCTGGAAAAGATATACTGCCATCTAGCATTATCCTGTTCTTGTTAAAGTTTAGGTGCACCTTCCACCAAAGTATTTTACAGTTTTTGTGAAAAATATTTGCATTAAGATACAAATGGACATTAAATTTGAGCTAAGTTCTCCTTACTGTAATCACACCTCCACAGATCTGGAGATTCTTGGAACAAACAAACCTGTTCCAGCTCTTGCAGTTTTCCCTCCCTTCTCCACTGTGGGATACAAACTGAAAACTCCCGTTAGCTAAAACCAATTCCAGATGCCTGTAACACTTAAAACCAAGGGCAATCAATCCTGAAACACCATTATGAACCACTTACCAGTCTCGCCCGTTCCTCCCTCATTGTCCTTAATAGTTAAGAAATGCATAGGAGCTGATGTCTAGGAACTTGCAAACACAAGAATTATTTGTTTTGAGGAGTGACAAATGATGATAGAGTTGATGAAGTCACAGGTTCATCATAAAGATGGAGCTAAAGACAACTTCAATATCTAAGGACATATCAAATCTGCTCAGTAATACGACCGTAAGTCAGCACAGGTTTTAGCAACTGGTGGTGTGTTCAGAATTTGTGATCAATCAAGAAAACAGAAGCTTCTTCCAATCAAAAATGCTTTCAGTATCTTACTCATCCTTTTCACTGGGGCCTCAATTCAGTCACTAATTTGAATGATGTTGCTGATCTTGAAGCACTGAATTTTCCTTAAAAGCAGCAATCTACTCCTCATTCTTGTTACAGGATCACCTGGCACACTTTGGGAACCTGGAACACCAGACTGCAAGGCAAGTTTTGAGCCTTGGTCTTGGCCTTAAGAGGCTTGCAATTCCAAGCTCACAGCAGTAACCTGTAACAGCAATACTGAAAGGAAAACCTGAATTATACCTTAGGCAAGAAATCAGCAGGACAGCCTAAAGCTCTGATACGTTATAAAGAAAAATATGAAGAACATTAAAACAAAACCAACCTCAACAAGGATTTCCAGCAGACTCCCCTTCTTCCAGGGCACAATGCCTTTGAGAATAAAATCCACTACTTTAGAATTTTTTAATACTTCTCCCACAAACGTAATAACTTTATCCAGTGTATCAACCCTTTTCTCTATCTTTGCCAGCCTTTCCTTATGCTTGGAGGCATCTAGCTGGGCAGCCTTCATCAGTTTCAGCACTTCTGAGCACATGCTCTGGACATCAGTCTGGTGAGCATTGTCCGATACCTTTAGGCCTTTTTTCATTGCATCTGTCTCATCAGGAGCTGCTCGGGACACTGTTAACTTGTTAATGCCTTTTTCTACATCATCAATGCCTTTGTTAACTTGCTGCAGTTTGCCTGTCAGATCTTCTTGGAAATGCAACAGTTTGTCCATCTTTTCATTCAAGAGATACAGTTTTTTGTCCATCATACTTAAATTGTTCACTTTTGTAGGCTGTAACTTGGTCAGGGCATTTCCCTCTGCAAGGTCCAAGCTACCCGCAGACATTCTGTCCAGACAGCAGGACGTCAGATAGATTAGGTTGGCTTTTCATTAATCATAAATTAGAAAATGAGGGTCTGGAAGTTCATCTTCTTTAGCTATTCCTACACCAGACAACCTCGCTTATTGGAGTCGCTAGAGCGTATCATGAGATAGCTACTGCACAAAAGATTTATTTCTGTGTTATCTATTTCTTACTGTGTGCTTTCAATGATGGAGGTAATTTGGCACCAGACTCTATTTTCTTGGGCCTCCTTGACGTCATGAAACCATTTAAAATTCTTTCTCGAGTGGCTGTTGATAGGCAAGCATCTTAACAATTGCCAATGCCTGAGCAGACCTCTGGAAGGAGAGGGATTGTTTTTATGACCAGATTTAGCTCTGTGACAATGAAAAGAACTTGCTAGAGCACTTCTCTTCATTAAATAGGCAAAATATAAAAGTAAATGTGCTAAAAGGCCTTGTGCTAAGGTTCGGAAGAATTCAGCATTGTCACACGGATGCAGAGCACCCGGCATAGACCCAGGGTGTGCTCTTTAGGTTGGCTGGCACTTCAATTTAAAAATAGAGTACAATGACAAGGATCTGAAATACGTATCTAGCACCAGCATGTCTTTGTCAACTGAAACTTCTAAAATTAAATCTTTCTCCCAGGCTATGAAAGTGAACCAAGTTAAATAAAATAAAATATTCATGAACACAAAGCAGAATTAGTCCAAGCAGAATTAGTCCAACCACGAGCAACAAAGTTACTAAATCATAAATCTTATTTCAAGAATTTGTTACTGACTTGCATCCACTTCTGAATCACAGCATGTCTACTACAAAAATTACAGTCAGTCACTAGAGAAGAGAACAGCAGTCACTTTATACTTGCACAGCCCCCACTGCCACAGTTCTGAATGCTTTAGAAACATTAATTAATATTACAATACAGCACGGATCAAGAGTGGGTCCTCTGCCACAGAGGATGAACTGTGGCATCAGGAGATAAAGCAGTTTGTCCCATGCCAGACATGACATTGTGTCAAATGACTGCGTCTAGCTCTCCCAGGCCCCTTCTCACTGCCCTTTGTAGCAGAGCAGGGGGAGAAAGCAGGGGGGAAATGCTGCTGCCACAGAGTCTTGGTGCAACAGAACAACGGAACCACATCAAAGCCAGGGCTTCGGGACACCGAGCGTCCCTTTGCCTCCAATCCCTTCCTTATTTCTTGGAAGGAACACATGGGAAGAAAGTGGAATTCTTAAAGTAAGTTTGCTGTATGAGATAGAACATTCTAGAAAATAAAATCCTACCTCTACACACTGCAAAGTAGTAGTGGCATTAAAATTACCGTCTTGACAAGATGCTAAGCACTTTCCATTTCTTTAAGACAAGGGTTTCTTACCTTTACAATAATAATGAAAAAAAATGTTACATCTACCAAGGCCACCAAATAATTTTAGCCAGCCTGGTGGTTCTGTGACATTTAGAGGACAATAACTGGCTTTACAAAAGATACCAAAAGCTTTAATACTTGGCCTGTTCATCACCTTCAAGAGAGGGTTTGAATACCAAGCAATGACTCTGGAAGAAAACTTGCCCTGTGAAAGCTGACAGGAGGAGCATTTCATGCAACACCACTTCTCCTGACCAAAAAAAATCATTTTAAAGTCACTGGTATTTTCACAGTGGTCTGGGATAGTATGGCATTAATTTTATGATACTCCATAATCTTATTTCAATAATGAAGCATACAATGCAATAAAATATACAGCTCTATCTTGGAAGTATAGGACATTGGCAATAAAAGCTTCAGAACTCTACTACTACATTTAAAGAATCAGAGTTTTCAGCCAAATGCCTTGAAGTAATTAATTGTTTCAAGCCTACAAACATGCTGGATAACAAATAATCAAAACAGCCGACATTTTTACTAAATCAAGAGTACCAGCAGGATGTCCTCCTTTTAGGGACAAAAAGAAAAAGGTAGAATCATTTGATTGTTAGATTTAAAGTTGGACAACTCGCAGCAAATACTTCAATAAGGAAACGAAGCCACAGAAAGTCATGCACAGTTGCAGGCTTAGAAGTTCAGTTGCCACCAGCAGTGTGCTATTACAGGCACAGCACGCGTGGTTGTGAAACAATGCAAGTACAATAAGAGTGCACTGGCCTCCGAATGTGTTTGTGGGCAAATGGGAGTCTTTTGAAATCTTGAACCTTCTTAATTATTTAACAATTGAGATGCCAAAAATGCCAAAAGCATTAATGCTGCCCCCTTGTTATTTACTAGTGGTGTTATTCGTATAACTCTGATTATTTAATCCTCCTCACATACAATGGACTCTAACGGTAAATGCTGTGTAAAACAACAAAAAAAAAATTCAAAAAAAACCCAGAAAGGCAATCTCTGGATTTATATTACTTTACACTGGCAGACTTGCCTGACTGCAGCTCGAGGGGCACAAATCATCTCCTCCTCCTCCTGATTCAGCCCCATGCACTATGTATTCCAGCTATATGGAATAGATTTCACCACCCAACACCTACTCACACAGTGCACTGAGATGTGTGGGACAACATACTATGGAGAATTCTTGCTCTGTGCAGCAAATACACCTTGCTAGTGGTGTCTGGGGTACATACAGGGAAGATACAGCCAAAGCTGCCTCCTGTTTGACTTACAACACTACTTACATCGTACTGTGCATCCATAAGCAGCTGCAAAGTTGCAGGTGGAATGAAGGATAGAGATGAAGGAAACAGCGTTTGGCCCAAAGTGAGAAGTTTTAAACATCTGTCACGAAGTTATTGAAGTCAGTTGTTTTTTTTTTTAATTTCCTTCTCCCCTCTCTCCCCTTTTAAACTTCTGGTAAACACACAAAAAGAAAAAATGGCTCCAACGGACCTAACTGATTGTTTTGTCTTCAGGATGACAATATGCTCAAACTCTAGCAAAAAAATCTTTTATTGCTTTTGCTTTGAATTGCAATAGATGGCAATTTTTGTTCAGAACATTGACTTAGTGCCGAATGTTTGCATTTTGTTTGAGCAGCCTGAAGAGAGCATTCAGCTCCATTGACAGTCTCAAGCCTTTCAACACTCTACCAAAAAAAAAAAAAAAAGAAAAAAATCCTAAATTGCTTGACTGCATAGTGCAGATCACAGCATACCCATCCTTAAACATCACAAAAAAGTACAGTTATTGTAGCAAATGTAATAGCCTATTAAGCTCACTTTTTCTTTGTGAGGAGCTGTTGCTTATAATGACATTTTGCACTTACATCTTACATACCGCAACACACGCTGCTTCATCTTCAATACTCCCCAAATTACACCTAAAGAAGTGTTGGATGAGGGACGAATACCAGAGAACCTTGTAGGACCTCTGTAGCTCGCAGAGCTATGCTCAGTCACCCCGTGCTGTCACTGGCAAAACAAACTGGAGAGTCACAAGACTCCATCACAGCCTGGATGTAACTTGATTAAAGTTTCTGATGGTAATTGGTCTCCTGCGGATTTCTGCTTGTTTCTACCAGGAAACAAAAAATGAGCACTGCGATCTGGAGCGTGTAGGCGACTGCCTCCACTCCGTTAAGAGATGAACTGAAATGAACTTCTAGGATAACTTTAAAATGTTTCCAAGCTATCAAGTGTCTCTGGAGTGCCAGAGAAAAGGAACACAAATGCTGGAGAACCAGAACTGCAAATGACCTTGAATTGATGATGCCAAAGACACTTCTATTCTCAAGAGGGAAATGAGAGTTTATTCCTCTTTGGCTTCAACCCCACGCACACTCTCCCAGTTGTGAAAGAGAAGTGTCAGAAAACATGAGAAAAATTCATATTTAACAAAGAATCTGTGATACGGCAGTTCAGTTAAGTGTCATAAAACATGAGAAAAATTCATATTTAACACAAAGAATCTGTGATACGGCAGTTCAGTTATGATCCCTCCCTCTGAAGGAAAAACACACAAAGATGGAGTGAAGAGAGGAAAAAAAAAAAGCAAAATAATCATCATCTACAGCATGTACTAAAGCGACAGCAGAGGCTTATATCCCAAACAAGAAATGTCACAGAGGTTAAAACCAGCTGCTCAAACAGATCATCTCATTAGATTATTGCACTGCTTCCAACAACATCGTAAAACAGGAGATGGCTGAAAATATGTAGGTAAATGAAAAAATAACCTTTCAGAAGGCCAAAACAAAGTCAAAGTTTTATATAGAACTTGCAGGACTTGGAAGAAGTTTGCAATGGTTGCGATGCAACGGAGTTCTAAGGAGGTGAAGAAAATGTGGTGAAACATCAGGAGCTTACAAAAAGAAATAAACCAAACAGCAGATAAGCTCAAAACAATTTGGCTACATCTGCTGACACTAATCAGGCAAAATAATACTAATAAATATTCTTTACATATTTAGAAAACAGTTGTCAAATTTTTCAAGTTACACTGAAAATCTACTTAATCTGCATCTAGTTTCTGTAGCTCATTAATACTCATTCCTTAATTTTTACCCCCAACAAAGGAAAGGGTAGCTAAGTTTTTTTTAGGGTACTTAAGCTTTGGAAGAATTAAGCCCTATACCAGTAATTTCTCATGAACAGCATCTTTCCTAGACATATGAAAGGTAATAAATCATGTCCACAGAGTAATGGTGCAGCAAGAGACCCATTCTCATGACAAATGGCAAGTACCAAAAGGGGCATTGGCTCTAATTTAGAGGAAGAGCTTCCAAGAGCAGGATATGCCACACAGTCTGGATGAGTCTATCTAGCCCCATAGCTGCATTTTCTGCTGAGATCAGACAAAAGACGTCCATCTGCCGTACTCAGTGGTGTACTAGGAACTGGCCCACACCTGCCTTAGAAGGCCAAGAACCTGACATTTAACACGTTACTTGTGTTGGCTGTTGGTTGAAATCCACCTGCACAGTAAGAGTCTACAAAGCACTATCAGTCTCCCCGCATTTTCTGCTGAGATCAGACAAAAGACGTCCATCTGCCGTACTCAGTGGTGTACTAGGAACTGGCCCACACCTGCCTTAGAAGGCCAAGAACCTGACATTTAACACGTTACTTGTGTCGCCTGTTGGTTGAAATCCACCTGCACAGTAAAAGAGTCTACAAAGCACTATCAGTCTCCCCGAGCGACCCTGGCACGATGCATTTCAGTAT